GTTTGTTAGAGCATAAAGTTATAATCAATTAGTAAAATTTTGAGAATCTTAAGATTTTATATAATTTTATTAATAAAAATACTAAAAAATGCTAAGATTCTCAAAATTTTACTAAATGATTATAACTTTATGTTCTAAGTAAACTTTTTTAGCACTCAAAAATACATTTAAATTTATTTTTTTTATAAATATATATGTGATAATTGATTTTTCAGCGAATTACTATAAAATTTATATATTATATTGAATTTTTAGCGAATTTACTTGATTTTAGAGGTAGCAAAAACCCTCCAAATTTATACAGATTAGTTATGACCTATATGAGAGATGTTCGGGGTTCTATCAAGCCACATATACACTTTTGATGTCTAATTTAAGTAGTTTACCCAAAGTGACAATGCTATACTAAGAGTTCTATATTATTTGCTATATCTTAACTATAAAGATACCTATTTAAACCTCTGATTATACTTTTAATTATATCTTCTGGGACTTCTAACTTGAATATAATCTCACCATGTATATGCCATGGATCTATGCAATACTACTAGATTAACAACCAATTTAGAATTAGTTTATTCTTAAGATAAACTTGCCAAAGTGGTTCTACCTACTTGGGGTATATATCTAGATTTTGGTAACTTATACTATAGCTTAACCTATGCTTTTGGGTTATGGCTAACCATTGAATCTCTATTATTATCTACTTTTACTCTTATAAGGTTCACACATACCCTGGTATCTCATTCTGATATTTCTCATATCATACTTTTTTTTTATATTTTTGGTCTTCTAACACCAGATAGCCTGGGTAGATTAGTCTGCTTAGATCTGAGTTTCTCAGACTCAAGTCTGAAGATCTCCTAATTTTTGGTCCATGTTTTTATAGCATGTAATTTTTTTTTTAAAAAAACTTATTCTGAAATCTTCTACTAGTTATCTTTAAAGAAAGTACAACTAGCATGGCTCTAGTAATCTTGTTGGCCTAGTTGGTAGATGCTTTTGTTTAAAGATCTTTTTCACTCAAGTCTTTCAAATTTTCTGGTTTAGTTTATTTCTTCTTGTAACACTGTCAAAAATCAGCTACTTTCTTATTCAAGATTTGCCAAGCTAGTTTTAGATCTTTGATATTCCCTATATAGGTTTTTAATATAGATCGATTTTGGAAGCTTTATTAAAGATTTGCACTGCCTTATACTAGTTTGTATTTTTTTATACAACAACATGAATATTTTTATATCTCTCAGCATATATGGCATCAGTATACCTAGGTTGCAAGATACTGTAACACAATTACTATAGCATTACTAAGCCCCAACTAGTTGTGCAATAGAGATCTGTTACTATAACACATAGTATTTTATTCAAACTATTGCTAGTGAGATTCAAACTTGGTACTATAGTTACAAGCTAGCTTGAGGATATGACAACTCTACCACTATGCTATATCATTACACCCTTCTTGATTATTATTATATAGTGTTTTATAGAGAAATAATAAATATAAAATTACAGTCATCCTCCTCTATAGTTATCTCCTATATAATCACTAACTCTATATAATTACCCAAATTTTTAATACAATTTTTTTATTTATAAAAATCCATATATAGTTACAATTCACCTATAGTCACTATCATATTTTATATTATAAATAAAGAAAAATATAATTATATTTTCCTTCTATAAAATCACATTTAAAAAAATAATAATAGTAAATAAATTACTAAAAGAATAAAAATAATCTAAACAAGTAGTATTCAAACTATCCAAATCGAATTCAAAGCTCTTAAAACCTAGAAAATAATATGTATTGGGTGTAAGTCTTAAAATTATATATTATTTGACTAATTGTTTTTAATCAAGCATTTGGTTAATGAGATTTTGCTGGGCATAAATATGCTTGCCTAAATTTTTTTTCTGAAAAAATCGCACAAAGAATTAACAAACAATAACTGATAATATTTTATATAAATATATACATATATACATATGGTGCTGGAAATTTAAAAAGTTCAATATTTCTATGTAGAAATAATGTATATGCTAGTGAAACTAGTGGCATACAAAAAATAAAATTTCTAAATTATCGATCTCAATAAGCGAAGGGTCTAGAACACTCTCAATCTTTTTGCATAAAAACAATAAGCAAAGAACAATATATATATAATAGCATGCTAATTTAGTTTCCCTCTAATATGTTAGTTAACCTTTTTTCTATATAAAGTAATTGAGTTTTTTAGATTTTCTGTACTGTACGTATATAAGCGTATTTAAAATATGATATTTTTTTAAATTTATATCACTTCGCCAATACTTATTTTGTAAATATAACACTTTATCAACAATCAATTTACAAAATTGTTTGTTTTACAATCAATTCACGTCAAAAAATTGTCTATAAAATGAGCTTGTTTGTAAAATAAAATGTCTATAATGGGAACTAGTTTGTGAATTAATTGTCTGCAAAATAAAAATGCTAGTGAAATTAATTGTTTGTGAAGTGATGCTTATAAATGAAGCGTCAGTGAAGTAAGTAAAACCATATTACTAAATCAAACATACTAATTTATTTTCATTTAACAAAACCAACAATGTATAATCAGCCATAATGATTAAAAGCAATGAGATTTTGTACTATTTAGAAAAAATGCAGGTAATCGTATCTAGATCAGGTGCATTGAAATGATGTAATCAATAAAATAGTTAAAAGTAACATAAATAACATATTGAAAATAATATAAAGCCAGAAGAAAATAAAGAAAATCAATTAGTCTTTCACTTTAAAAAAATCTATATAAGTAAAGGTATAATAAATTGATACTTATCCGATATTAAGTAGTACTGCAGTATGCTCTACAAAATATTTTACAATAACAGAGCATATCTCTGAGCAATGCCTAATCTCATGATAATATTGTATTTAGCTATTATGATAATGTTCAGAATGACACTATGCTATAAGAGACTTTAAGTCATTTTATCTACATAGTTTGAAGCTAAAATACAGTACAAATACACTATAGACTAGTCATGATTATGCTATGTTGCAGAAAATGTTTTAGCACCAAATCATAAATACAACTTATTACTTCAATTTGCCATTTTTCATTTTATTAAATGTCTTAAAACATCTGGAAAATTGATATTTTTTTATAATATTTCTGTATATAACCATATTTTTATTGAGAGTATAAAGGAGACGATATGGCTATAGTTATATAACTGCCTAGTGTTTTATTACACTTTTAATAGTCAATTTATTTGATTTATTTAACTTTAATTTTTGCATATGCTTATTTTCTGATTTGTACAGTATATAAATATAAAGCTATATACAAAAACTATATTAAGATGATCACGACTAAGAAAAGCTATTACAATATTTCACAATGACAGTAAAAAAAACTATGTATGAATGTATAAATTTTTTAATGTAAAATTAAAAGTTCATAATCAAATAATCATACAATACCTTATCATTAATTCATTTGATTATCTTCATCATAAAAATCATCTTCGTCATAAAGATCTTCATTGTAAAAGTCTCTGTCATAAAGATCTTCATTATAAGGGTCTTCTTTATAAAGATCTTTATTATTAGGGTCTTTGTCATAAAAGTCATTATAATAAGGACTATTGTCATTAAGAAAATCTTCTTTGCCAAGAAAATATTCTTCATTGGGAGAATATTTATCATTTTGAGTTCCTGTTCTACCAAAAAAATCTATAATAGGTTTTTTTTTTTGCCTTAATGATTTAATAGTTTTTCATCTCATTAATAGTATTATAAAACGAATTAATTATTAGTTTATTATTTTATTATTTATTATTTATTAATTATTATCTTGAATATTATTATTATTATCTTGTATAATTAACATGTTGCTCAGTCGCTTAGTCGCCTAGTCGCTTAGTCGCTTAACTATATAGTCGCTTAGTCGCTTAGTCACCTAGTCGCTTAGTCGCTTAGTCGCTCAGGCTTACAGATATATAAACCCCACTAATTTCCCCAAGTTAGAAAAAGCAACAGACACCCCTCTCCCCTTATTCTTGTAAACAATATTTAGGATTCTTTAGGGATAGATACCTAAGGA